GAGAAGCTCACCAGGTGCCTCAGAAAAGTGACTTGAAGAAGGAATGCGGGCAGACCAGTGAACACAGAGTCCAGGAGACAAGCCTAGCCAGGACACAATCTCTCCGTGCCTCCACCAGTCTCCTTCCCTCTGCCCATGAAGTGCCTTCAGCGGATGGGCTGAAAATCCCACCTAGTCAAAGTCACCGAAGACAGAGGACAGGGAGGCAAATATGCCCAGTAGGACACAGGAAACTCAGAACCTTCTGAGTTCAGGGGCTTCCAAGTGGTGCGTGTGGAATGGGCAGGGCTGTGGCATAACACCCAAGCCAAGAACAGATCTGCAAACACACAGTTATATAATGCTTTCAGGTGAGCAAATGTTTTAACATTTCTTAACCTTTGTTGCGTAACTGGACTCCTTTTGGTGTTTTCAAATTGATGCCTTTGGAGTTTTCAGTCTTATGTCATTTATAGTCCTTAGACTTCCAGGTACAATCCATGTCAAAGGAAAAATATATACACAAAAGACAAAAAATAAATTTTGAAACATGTTTTTCTTTATTAGTTACTGGGTTGGATAACTAGTTAGGTAAGCTAGATTACTGTGTGTAAAATATACAGTATTTAGTTATATTTTAAAATGTTTTTAAATACCATACCTCTAAATTCAGGTGTAAAGAGCAAGGTCTGAAGAAGTGAATTAAGATAACAGGTTCCACCCTGATTTTTTATGCCACTTAAATTGGTGTTTCCCCTAGGAACTGGTGGCTCAGCATCTTTCAATTTCAACTTGGGCTTCCCATATTGATTGCTTGACAAAAAGAAGTCTTCATTAAATAAGTCCCCAAACATTGTGAATTTACATCAGAGCCCTTTAAAGAAAAAAAAAGACTTATTTCAAAAAATATTTTACCACAGTACCTATTTTCATAAATAATGTTCTGTTGGGTGCTACCTGCAAACTGCAAGAGAGATGCTTATGCATTGTGTACGAATTGGAAGTAAATGTTGTCTAGAAACAAAGGTCTTTACTGAAATTTATCAGCCTGTTAATGAGGGATGAACTGTACTGTCATTAACAGTAGTTGAAAGACATCAAACTTCCATAATATTTTCCAAGAGATTCGTATCCTTTTGATATTCCAGAAAGAACAATCTTCACAAAAAAATCAACTATGCTCACAGTAAGTGCTCGATCTCATGTCCTCCTAGCAGAGGCCCACTGCGGGTGGCTGCGTAAAGGCGGAAGTTGTGGGCCCACGACAGGCATCACGTGTAGCCTCCCACGCTCCTGAGTGTTAGCTCAGGGATCCTTTCAGACGTGAGATTTGGGAATGAGTAACAAAGGAAAAGTTCTTGTCCATATAAACATCCCACGTTCCCTTAGTACACTTAGGCAGACTTATCCACATGAGGCGCGGCTGTGACCAGATAAACACAAAAGAGGTGCAGGAAAGCGTAAGACTGGGGTGCTTTAAATACTCTAAAATGGAACCATTTAAGGACGGAAAGGCTACCTTCTGCCTTCGATACCCCCCGTTCTCACTGCGCTGGCCAGCCGTGCTCCGGGCTGCGCCGCTTCAGACTGCAGGTGCGCTCCACGCGATTGACGGCTACTCCGCATGCTCAGCGTAGGAAACTAGCTGTGAAAGGGCCGGCCTGGGGAGACTCCTCCTAGCCAACATCCTGGTCTTAACGAGCCCCGTCTGCTGGGTGTTTCTCTAGCGTATGCCAAATCACTGAATATACGAAACGGGACGGGGAAAGGCCCTCTTCCCGGCACGCCGGTTTTCTGCGCGTGGGGGGGGGAACGTCCTCTCCGGGGAAGGCTCGGTCGCGCGGGCCACGCGCAGGGGAGCGCGCGGCCCACCAGAGCGCCGAACCGCGTGCAGCGCGGCGACGGGGCCCCGCGCCTGTGCTGCGGCTGGGCTGCAGCGCGAGCGGCGCCCGCTGCCAGGGAAAGCGGGCTGCGGGCGCAGCAGAAACAGACGCTCCCGCTCCTCCCCGCACGTCCCACCCCAGCCGGGGACGCCCCTCCGCGCGTCTCGGCGCCACCCCGGAGCACCTTCGCTGCTTTTTCGTTCACTCACAGTCAACTGCGCCTTAAACCCCCTACTAAAAGGCCTCTTTGCTGCCTTTAGGCGTCCTCACCTGGAGAGGATGCTGGGATTTGTGGTCCTTTGTCAAGCGCTGTTCAGCCGTTGGCCGTGCTCCGGTCTGCACCGGTTGTGACGACAGCTGATCGCAATGGTTTGCAGGGCTTGTAGTTCTTTTAACTCGCCAAAAAAAAAAAAAAAAAAGATTCATGCCATATCAAGAAGGGCCTTTATGTAATTTTCGACAGACAGCAGATTCCCAGCATTCCTCAGCTAGCATGGCTGGCATGGGAAGGCTGGGACTGTTTTCTGTCAAAATCCACAGAACATTGTGTCTACTGATTATGGTGGTGGCGCTGGTGCTGGTGATGAAGGCGGGGGCTGGGAAGAGGGTGGATGATGCATATATGGAAAATGCATTCTCGTTCCCGGCATTCACATCCTTTTCTGCTTCGCTTGTCCTTTTGTCTCTCGTAACTCTTCATATACAGTACACCGCAGCTCCCCACAAATAAGTGAAGAGTTCAGCTGCACGAATTTTGGCTTTGGCTCCGCCTCCTGGGCGCTTGGTTCTGCCTCTGCTGACCTGCCCTTTACCGAGATACTCCGGCAGTTAGCCTCCCCCTCGCCCCTGCTTTCATATTTGACTGTGATTGCTAACATTGTTGGGAAAATTCAGATAAATCCTGGTAGAAAAGCGTTGCTTATATCTGCCTTTGTGTTATAAAATCAAACCGGTGCCCCTTTCTCACAAAGCAGCAGAATTCCAAGCCAGGTTCCTGTTTAGCGTTTCTGTTGCCTTAAGAAGATGGAATTCTTAGCTGGACTGAGATGCTGCTGAAGGGTAATACTATCAGTGGGGAAATGCCAGTGTTCAGACCGCTGAGACAAAGACATTCATTTATTTCTGAATGGACCCATTTAATCATCTAGCTCAGGGGTCGGCAACCGTAAACACTCAGAGCCATTTGGACCCATTTCCCACAGAAAAGAAAACATCGGGAGCCACAAAACCCATTTGACATCTAAAATGAAGATAACACTGCATATATCGTTTTTTACCTTTATGCTTTGTATAAAAAACTATATTGTGTTGCATTTATGAAATCAATGAACTACTACAGAGAAAACAAATTTTTATTTCTGCATGCAACGAAAACTTTTTGAACACCAAAAAAAAAAAGCTGCTGGGTTGAAGGTAACTTTCAAATAAAATACTCAATGTCTATTTGAGTCCTCCTTGTATTTATGAAATAAAAAACCAAACGTAAATTATGATTTTTGCTCAGATCAACCTTCCACATCAGTTCTGAAATGGCTTTTTTTCTCTCATCTCCACCCGGATATTTTTCAGCAAAGGCTGTGTGTTTATTCTGGAAATGTCTTGCAACATTCGACTTTTTGTTGTTTGCCAATTTCTCACCACATATTAAGCATACTGGTAAAGCAGTCTCGTCAGCAGTGAAAACAAATGAATCTGCCCACGTACCATTGAACGTTCTGTTTTCTTCTGAAACTTTTCTTTTCTTGGATTTATCCATAATTGGCCTACTGGGGGCTCAAAAAGCTCAATAAATCGTGTGCCGGTGGGTGTCGCCCATTGGCGGTTGTGACGCATATTTTGAGCGATAGGGAGCTGCAGCAGAGCGATGAAAGAGCCACATGGGGCTCCGGAGCTGTGGGTTGCTGACCCCGATCTAGCTCAACAGAGGTAAGCACCTGCAGTGTAGTTGTGAAACCAGTATTCCTGAATGGTTCCTCAGTCAGACACATTTGCATGTTTAAACATTGCTGACCTTAACTGTCAAGAATTTACTAGATTTACATATGAATAAAGCAATCAGTAGTATTTCCCATACTATTACCAGTATTTCTGATGTGTTTAGAGCATTATGTCATGCCTAAAGACATCAAGATGTTATTGTACCAACATTATCTCGAAACTTAACACTCTGTATTGGTGTATGTGACTAGCAAGTAATAAAAGTGTCTTTACATGGGCAGTGATTTTGTAGTTGAGTTTGCACATTACAATAATCCAGTTGGGGGGATACCATAGCTTGGGTCACTGTTGCAAGGCATCGCTCATCCAGGTAAGGGCACAGTTGGTAGGCCAGTCAAAGCTGGACAAAGGCACTCCTTGCCACCTCTGCCACCTGGGATTCCAGGGACAGCTCCCGATTGAGGAGCACTCCCAGACAGTGCACCCAGTCCTTTAGGGGGAGTGCAACACCATCCAGAACAGGACAGATGTCACTCACCTGTAGGGGTGAACTGCGTACCAACAGGACCTCTGTCTTATCTGGATTAAGTTTCTAGCTCAGTGTATTGGCCCTTATCCAACCCATTACCCCGTCCAGGCACCAGTTAAGGATGGCCACTGCCTCACCTGGACTAGATGTAAAAGAGAGGTAGAGGTGGGTGTCATCAGTACACTCTGCAGCCCAAACCTCCAGATGACCTCTCGCAGTGGTTTCATGTAGATGTTAAATAGCATGGGGGATAAAATGGAACCCAGTGGAACTCCATGGCAAAGCTGCCATGGCGCATAGCCATAAAACCCCCAGCACCACCTTCTGGAATTGGCCAGACAGTTAGGAGTGGAACCACCGCAGAGCAGTGCCTCCAACTCCCAACCCGGCCAGCCTATCCAGAAGGATACCATGGTCAATGGTACTGAAAGCTGCTGAGAGATCCAGGAGAACAAACGGGCTCACTCCCCCTGTCCCTCTCCCTGCACAGGTCACCATACAGGGTGACCAAGGCAGTTTCTATTCCATAGCTGGGCCTGAAGTAAGATTGAAATGGGTCGAGATGATCCATTTCCTCCAAGAGTGCCTGGATTTGTCCAGCCACCACCTGCTCGAGCACCTTGCCCAAGAACGGGATATTTGCCACTGGTCTATAACTGGCAGCTATCTCTGGGTCCAGGGACTCTCTCTTCAGGACAGGCCTGATCACTGCCTCCTTCAAAGGGGCAGGGACCCTGCCCTCCCTCAGGGAAGTGTTGATAACCTCCCAGACCCAGGTACATATCCTGTCCTTGGCTCTAATGAGCAGCCACGAGGGGCAAGGGTTGAGTAAACAAGTGATAGGCCGGACTACTCCGAGCACCTTGCCCACATCCTCAGGTTGTAACAATTGAAACTCATCCAACAAAGATGGACCAGACGGTGCTCTGGACACTTCCCACTCTAGAGTCTCAACAACTGTGGAATCCAGCTCGTGGTGAATTCGAGCGATTTTATCCTTAAAGTGCTGGGCAAAGTCGTCATAGCGAGCTATGGATGGTATGATCAGATCCTTTTCATGGTCAGATTGTAAAAGGCCCCATAACAGTCAGAAAAGCTCAGCCAGATGGCACTGTGAGGATGCAATGGAAGTGGTGAATTCCTTCTTCACCGCCCTCACTGCCACAGCATAGGCTCAGTAATGTGCTTGGTCAGATTTGTCCTGGGATTTTCTCCACCTGCGCTCTAGTCGTCTCCCAGTCTTTTTCATTGCCCACAGCTCAGGCATATACCATGATGCCGCGCGGGCTCTACAAGGCAGGAGAGGGTGCTTAGGAGCAATCGTGTTGCTTGCCCTGGTCATCTCCCCATTCGACAAATCAACCAAGGCATCAACAGGAGCGCCAGCTTTATCAACCAGAAAATTCCCCAGGGTCTGTAGGACTCCATCCGGATCCATAAGACTCCAGGGGCGAGCCATCCTAATAGAGTCCGCACCCTTACAGAGGGAGAAATTGGCCCTGAGTTCGAACCTCACAAGGAAGTTTTCTTACCATGACAAAAGAACTGAGGTCAAATCCCTCACTTCCAGATCACCATCTTCCTGCCCTGTCAAGAAAACCAGGTCTAGAGTGTGGCCTTTTTCATGTGTTGGGCCGGTGAAATGTTGAGACAGCCCCATGGTTGCCATGGCTGCCATGAAGTCCTGAGCTGCCCCAGCGAGAATGGCCTCGGCATGGAGATTGAAGTCCCTCAGGACCAACATTCTGGGGGTCCTCAACACGAGGTCCAAGACGATCCCATCAGCTCAGGCAGGGAATCTGTTGGGCAGCAGGGTGCAAGGTAGACAAAAAGAATCAATCATCTGTCTTGATTGCCCAGCACAAAGTACAAGCACTCCATACCGGGTCTCGAAGGGACAGGAAGCCTCACAAGGGAAATTGAATCTTGGTGAATTAGGGCCACACCCCCTCCCCTTCCCCAAGGTGGGGCAGGTGCTGCACCTGATTTGGAAGTAATAATTCTGTTAATGCATCCCAAAATAGCATTTGCTTTTTTGGCAGCTGCATCACACTATTGGCTCACTATTGGCTATTGTCCGCAGTTGCTCCAAGATCTTTTTCTTTTTCAGTTCTGTTGAGCCACGTATTCCCCATCTTGTATTGATGCATTTGGTTTCTTTTTCCTAAGTGGAGGACTTGACACTTGCCCCTACTGAATCTCATTCTGTTGCTTTCAGGCCAGTGTTCATGTTTATCAAGATCGCCCTGGATTCTGCCTTCTAGGGTGTTTGCTATTCCACCCAGTTTTGTATCATCTGCAAATCTGATTATCTTTCCTTGTACTTCCTCAGCTAAATCATGAATAGAGATGCTGAAGAGCACTGGGCCCAGGACTGAACCCTGTGGCACCCTGCTAGTCACCTCCATCCATTGATGAGCACTCTTTGTGTTCAATTTAGCAACCAATTTGGGATCCACCTAATAGTCTTTCCATCTAGTCCAGTTTTTGCTAATTTGCTTATCAGAATATCGTGTGGGACTATGTCAAAAGCTTTCTAAAGTCTAGGTAGATTATGTCCACATTGTTCTCTTTGTCTATTTAGGAAGTTGCCCCGTCAAAAAATGAGATTAAATTATTCTGCCAGGATTTATTTTTGATAAATCCATGTTGGCTTCTATTAATCACTGCATTTTCTTGAAGATGCTTGCAGATGGATTTTTAAATAATTTGCTCCAGAATTTTTCTAGGGATTGATAGCAGACTAATTGGTCTATAGTTCCCAGCTTTGTCTTTTTCCCTTTTTTTGAAGATAGGGACAACATTAGCCCTTCTCCGGTCGTCTGGCACTTTTCCTGTTTTCCAAGATTTATTGACGATAGTAGTGGTTCTGAGAGTTCCTCCACTAGCTCTTTTATGACTCTGGGTCAATATTAGGCTGTTTTTCTGCTCAGGCATATAAGACAACCACCAATTTTTGCTTTGCAATTTGTGGTTTCAAGCATCATCTTATTTGTCAATATGTACCGTAGCTGGATATTCATGCTGTATATTTGTAGCTTCCTCAAATCCTTGTCTACAGCTTTTCCTAAATGTTCCATTAAGCTGTCCGTATCCATTTCTGCCTCAAATTACTGTATTTACTTTCCTGAGCCCCTCTACTTTACACAGCATTAGCTGTAGCATGACTGCAGTAGTTCTCCGTTCAGCGCTCTTTCACCTGGTCTAGTTGTAGCCAGGCAAACATTATCATGGCGTTGTTTTGGACCCTGGAATCTCAGCAGATCTTGATTAATGATTAATGTAAAGTTGGAAAAGAAGCTCAGAAAGCACAAGTCCTGCTTCAAATTCATTATTAAAAAGAAAAGGAGACAGACACAAGGTACGCAAGGTTGTTGTTTTTTTTTAAATGAGGCCAATTTTCTGAACAAAGTGATGGCATCCATTTTTAATAAGCTTGACTGTTTGGCCACATGGCTTCCCTATTTGCTTGCCGTTTTCTTCTTTGCTGAAAGCAAGAAGCTGCTGGTGATACCTCAGGATGGAAGTCACTGGCTCAGCATGCGCACAATTGTGGAGAAGCTCAGCAACAAAGGTCATGCGATAACAGTGGTGGCACCAGAATTTAATTTGCTCTTGAAAGAATCAAAGTATTACAAACTGAAGACATATGCAGTGCCATATACACAGGCAAATCTTGATGCTGAATTTCAGAAATTTGCAAGAAACCTCTTCCATGAAGTTTCTTTTCCATTCACGGTTCTTAAGGAGTATCAGAACAACATGTATGTGATAAATATGTTTTTTGACAATTGTGACAGTCTTCTGAAGAACAGAGGAATCATAAAGTATCTGAAAGAGAGCCAGTTTGATGCCATTTTTACAGATCCAGCTTTGCCATGTGGAGTCATCCTAGCTGAATATCTCTCCATCCCTTCCATATTTCTCTTCCGTGGATTCCCATGCAGTTTAGAGCATGCGATTTGTAAGTCACCAAACCCTGTTTCCTATGTCCCAAGATGCTATACCAGGCATACAGACCAAATGACTTTTATCCAGCGCACGGTTAATCTGTTTGTCAATTCTTTAGAGACGTTGCTTTTTAAGACTTTATATAACAAATATCAAGACATTGCTTCAGAATTTCTACAGCGAGACATTCACTTACCAACACTTTACAGGAATGGTTCAATTTGGCTTTTGCGTTACGACTTTATCTTTGAGTATCCCAGGCCTTTCATGCCCAACATGGTCTTTATAGGAGGCTTAAACTGTGAAGAAGGGAAAGTCCTGCCCCTGGTATGTCCATTTTTTTTTATTTCAAAATGTTTGTTTAACTTGGAAAGGAAGTGCTACATCTGTGCTATCACCATAAGGAGTGCAACATATTACCAACCATGTTGCCAGATTTAGAATAAAGAATTTGAGACATCACTGCTAGGTGGTCAAGATAGATGTCAAATGTCTATTAAAATGGTCTGAAAACACTAAATGTAATTCTTGTGAAATTAGCTGGCCAGAGGTTGGATAGGAGACAACATGGACATCAATGCATATTGCTTTCACAGCATATTTTGTTGCAATTCAGCATTTGCCTTATTAGGAATAAACCCTGCTGAACTCAATGGGATTTTATGGGAGGTCATGGGAGTCATTGACTGGCTTTGGGTGTGATGCCAGAAGAAACGCTTTGGGTTCCTCGACCACGGCACCTGGTTTCTTGCCAATGGACTTCTGGCAAGGGACGGGTTGTACCTCATGAGGATGGGGAAAATGTCCTTCAGAAATGCCCTAGTGAGCTTTGCCAGGAAGACTTTAAACTGAGCTGGGGGGCGGGGTGTTCACCCCTCCCCCCAAAAAACTTGTCCTGATTGGGCAAGTGTTGGGAGAGGATCAGGGCTCTGGGACCAGGGTGTTAGAAGTACTGCAGGGGCTGGAAGGACTCCTACGAAAAGAGGGCCAGTATAGGGAAGATGGGAGGAAGGAGGAGGCTGTGGATCCCAAAGAAAGGAAGCTGTGGGAAGGAGCTGAGGTGCATGTACACCAATGCTAGGAGCATGGGTAATAAGTAGGGAGAGCTTGAAGCTCTCCTGGGTATAGGAGGGTACGACCTGGTGGGGATCACGGAAACTTGGTGGGATGAAAGGCAAGACTGGAATGTGAACACAGAGGGGTATCACCTGTTTAGAAAGGACAGGAAGGGAAAGAGGGGTGGGGGCGTAGCCTTATATGTCACGTAAGGGATAGGATGCAGTGAGATAGAATGCAGCACAGATGGGATCTGGGAGAGGCAGTCCGGGTGAAACTAGGGTGGGGGGACATCCTTGACTAGGATTTGACCAACAGGGAGGAGCTGATAGATGAGGTACAGATTAGGGGAGCTCTGGATGTGAGTGATCACTCCATCCTTTGCTTTCAGATCAGGGGACCGGGGAAATGCAGCAGGTCAAGCACTAGAAGCTGGAACTTCAAGGGGGCCAACTTTGGCCAACTGCAGGCCAGACTGGGGAAAGTCTCCTGGGAGAGGGTACTGGAAGGCAAGGGAGTTCAGGAGGGGTGGATGGCATTCAAGAGGGAGGTTTTGGAGGCGCAAGCCTTGACGATACCTCTAGTTAGTAAGGCGGGGAGGCGAAGGAGAGTGCCGCCATGGATGCAAAAGGAGGTGGTAGAAGGGTTAAAAAAGGCTTCTATCAGCATGTAAATAGCAAGAGGAAGAGGAGACAGGTAGTGGGACCGCTTGATAAGGAGGAAGGGGATTTGGTGACTGATGTGAGGGAACAGGCACTGATGCTAAATGACTATTTTGCCTCTGTGTTCTCCCCAAAGCAGGACAGGGGGGATCCGCATGAGGGATCAGATGAGGCTGGTGCCTTAGGGGCACAGATTAGAGTCACCCCGCCCCCCAGAACTTGAGGAGCTCCTCAGGGCACTGGACATTACAAAGCTGCTTGGCCCTAAGAGTTTACACCTGAGAGTACTTAGAGAGTTGGCAGGGGTTCTCTTGCGCCCACTGGCCTCCATTTTTGAGGCCTCGTGGAGAACGGGTGAGGTTCCAGAGGACTGGAGGGTGACGTCAGTGGTCCCAATTCAAAAAAAGGTAGTAGAAAGGATATGGGGAATTTCAGACGGGTTAGCCTTACATCCACTGTAGGAAAGACAATGGCAGGGCTCATAATAGCGAGAGATCTAGTAACCAAAGATAGGGAAGGAAGGTTGGCGGCCACGCAGCACGGCTTCTGCAAAAACAGGTCCTGCCAGACAAACCTTGTGGAATTCCATGACAAGGTTCCAAGGTGGCTAGATGGAGGGGACACGGTGGATGTGGTTTACCTGGATTTCAGCAAGGCCTTTGACAAAGTGCCGCATGATATCCTGGTTGAGAAATTGAGGAGTTTTGGGATAGACCAATGCACTGTCCGATGGATCAGGGCATGGTTGACTGACCAAAAGCAGAGGGTAACCATTAGTGAGGAATCATCAGGATGACGGCCAGTGACAAGCAGGGTCCCCCAGAGCTCTGTCCTGGGGCCGATCCTGTTTGATCTTTTCATCAACGACATGGAAGAAGGGGTGACCAGTCTGCTGATCAGATTCGCAGATGATACTAAAATGGGGGCAGTGGCCACAAGTGAGGAGCAGGTACTCTGGATCCAGAAGGATTTGGAGAGACTATGGAAGTGGGCAGGGGACAACAGGATGGCATTCAGTGTGGATAAGTGCAAGGTCTTGCACTTGGGGCATAGGAATGGGTGTCATAAGGACAGGTTAGGGGACAGGTGGCTGGTGAGCAGCACTTGTAAAAGGGATCTTGGGGTTACTGGTTGACTGCAGGCTAAACATGAGTCAGCAGTGTGACGCGGGCAAATGCCACCCTTGGTTGCATAGCCAGAAGCATGGCTTCTAGATCAAGAGAGGTATTACTACTATTCTACATGACTCTGATGCTCCCGCAACTGGAGAATTGTGCTCAGTTCGGTGCTCCACATTAGAGGAAGGATATAGCCAGGTTAGAGTCAGTGCACTGTAGGGCCGCAAGGATGGTGGCCAGATTGCAGGGAAAGCCATATGAGGTGAGGCTGAGGGGACTGGGTCTCTTCAGCCTGGGGAAGAGGAGACTCCAAGGGGATCTGTTGGTGGCATATAAGTACGTGAGGGGGTGTCACACGGAGGTGGGTAGAGTTCTGTTTTCCCCTGCGGAGGAGGGCAGGATGCTCCAATGGAGCAAGGCTCGGGGAGCCAAGGTTCAATTTGGATGCCACGAAGTACTTCCTGACAGTTAGGACTCCAAAGATTTGGAGTGGACTTCCAGGGGAGGTGGTTGAGGCCCCATCGGTGAGGATGTTCAAGGATTAGCTGGACATGCACATGATAAGGAAGTCATGAATGGAGCTGTCTGGAGCCAGGGGCCAGACTGGGAGGCCCCTTCTAACTCGCTCAGTTTCTATGTTATGTTTCATTTAAAACTCAGTGGCAATAAACCTATATTGCAGCATATATGCTAGAGTAAGAATAGGATGCAGACGTAGCATTGATGTTATTTGTCTGAAAATACAGCCAAATTCAACAGATGCTTGTATGTCAAGCTTCAGTAATGGTTCTGCTTGTGCTCAAGGCATCATGCTACAGTAAGTGGGGAAAGCAGAATTTGGGTTGACTGTCATGGCCTGAGCTGAGTTTCTCACAGACATTCTGAAATCTATCACATCCTCAGGGAATTCATGGACACTTCAGAGTTAATTCAATGAGTCTTATTCTTCATGGTTGTGATATTTGAAATTTGAACACATTAACATCAAACCACCATCATCCTTGTGAAGAATGGCTGACTATTCACAGCCTTACACAACGCAACACAACCCGATAGCCACAGTGCCACCTGAAATGTAGAAATCCCTTTGTATTACAATTTCAACTTTGCTTTCCTTTGAGCAATTTTTTTTCTTTTCCCCTTCACTCCATAACATTCTTCCTGCTTTTTCTGGATCTCTTCAGCCATTTCATCATTAAGCCTTCTTCTTTTTCTCAGCATAGCACTGTTTCTTCTCTGTCAGCACAGTGTTTCTTTTCTCCAGCTCTCTTTTCACCACCATTTTTCAGCTTTCTTCCTTTCCTCTTTACTGAACAGCATCTCGGAGTCCACTTCACACAGCTGTCCCTTCTTTTCTTCGTAAGACACTTCTGCTCTGTTTTTGTGACCTCCCCAATTTCATATTTATAACTCTCCTTTGCTTGGTTCAGCAGTGGGAACACACCTGGCTTTCATTCTTGTGGCAGTTATGCAGATGCCCAGATGTAATAAAGCTGCAGATCTGGAGGTAAACCTGCTCCTTGATGGCATCATTTCATACTGCAGGAAATGGCAGCGACACTTCCTTTTAATAGCAGGGATGCAGAAGGCATCCCCGCTCCCCTTCAGAATCCTCTTCTTCTCTGAGTTTAGCTGCAATCCTCACAGTACATTTTTGCAACAAGGCGGCAAAGTCACCGCAATATCCAAGATCACAGGTTGTTTTATGGGGCTCCCCAGGTCCGCTTGGTTTTGACAGGGACATACGCAAGCAGGAATTCATATGTCACTGTAAACGTCTTTTAATGGAATGACTGATTTGACAGCTAGCTGACAGAACTGTCAGTTCCTGTAAAATAGGGTGGCACCCAAGCTTTCCTTCAGGCAGATGGCCCTCTTTTAGATGAAGAGAGTTAAATGTTCTCTTGATTTCCTTTCTGTTCAGGAACAGTATGACAGGTGTGGCTGTGATAAACAGGGCTGGCAGAGTGACACCTGCCTTAGGCACCAAACACTGGGCATCAAGAAAGGGTAGCAAATTAATTGTCATTTAACTTTTACTGCTTGGGACGGGCAGATGTCTTGGTTCGGTTTTCTGGCTCATATTGCAAAATAATCTGACTTTGCCCTCTGATAAGGGCAGACTATGGCATTTTTTATGCTACCTCAAGCAATGAAATGCCTTCTGCCAGGTGATAAAGGCCAGCGGCTTATTTCACTGAGCTTCCCAAATGTTCATGGCTCATAGCTACAGCTCTACATGCCCATATAGTAGGTTTGGGTTTAGGGATACTAAACTTAACATCTCCTGATCTGCATGGCAAATATTTGAAATGAATGTTCTTTGCTGTGTTTTCAAAGTTGACTTTCCCCTTTAAACAAACACGCTGCCCACAATCATAAAACCCGAACATTCTGCCAACAACAAAGCATAAGTGCTGTATGGACTGCACAGTTTGTCTTGAAGATGTGACACTGCTTGCCTGGGATGCCAAGTCCTTAGGCAGAGGCC